TGCCAGCTGAAAACAACTCAATAATTATAATTCATTTCTAGACGTATATAACTAAACAGTATACTAATATACTATTCTAATTTCTTCCTCTATTTTAAAATTCTGTTTGTGTGAGCCTCAAGCATGTTATAATCTGTGCTCATATACTCTATATGATAGTAACCTTACAGTGACTGTACCTTCTTTCGTAAACATCCGCATTTAATTGGTAGATACCAATAGTACTCAATAAACATCTACCCATCCGTTTTTAATACTTTTGTAATACCATAACACATTCACATATACTATAACGTATAAGTAGTTATATATCACTATACTATAATTATATATACTATATACTATATAGTATATACTATATATATATTCTCATTAAATAAATTCATTCGGTTGGTAGACTAATAGATCTAACTGGGTTAATTGTTACTCAACCGTAAGATTGAAACGTTCAGCTTTACGTTTCGCCTCCTGCCAGGAGGCTTCTCAAACCTAACTCGAGTTAACTCGAACTCAGTCAGCTTTGAGAAAGCCTCCTGCCAGGAGGCTTTCTCAGCCGCGAAACGTAAGCTGTACGTTTCCAATCTTCATGGTTGAGTACCAATTAACCAGTTAGATCTACTATATATACTATAGCAAGTATAGATAATAAGAAGTGTGTTTCGGCTCGGTAGGTGTTCAGTTAGGTATACTATATTATGGCAATTCCACAAAATGTTCGCTTAGATAAAAACACTAATTGCCTAATTTCTTGTAGATTGATTAATTAAATTTGGTGTTTACTGTGCATGTTAATGTTAAAGAAGACTTATCTGACTGTCGGGCCGTTACGCTGAATTGCCTATACATAGTAAGTATACTAGTAAGAAGTGTGTATCAGTAGACTACGCTGGAACATGTTTTGCGGCACCTTTTGCCTTCCGGAAACAAACACAGGATGGCCTTGTACGACTGCAAGTCCTTCTCCACACCAAACTCCTCCATGCGCCGGATTGCCGCATATACAAACTCGACCGAGCCACGGCCCGGACTTGTCTCCGTTTCTCAAACGTCGTGAGCGCACGCTGCGTTAAACCCGCGACATTAATTAGCCAACATCGTCTACGCTCGCGTCATCCAGAGATGATTCTGCATCGTCTGCAAGTTAAGGAGGGTGTTCCTTCGTAACAATCAACATAAACATCCGCAACAACATCTATGTTCTGGTCATCCAGAGTAGCGATTCTACATCATCTACAAGTTAAGGATGTGTGTTCTTTCATGCCGACCGCACATACAAAGACCGGACATACAAGGACATACAAAGACCGACATTACAAAGACCGACCTTACAAGGACCGACCATACGAGGACCGACATCACAAAGACTGACATACAAGCCGACATACAAAGACCGACATATCAAGGACATACAAAGACCGACATACAAGCGACCGACATACAAGGACCGAGAAACCAAGGACTGACATTACAAAGACCGACATACAAGGACCGACATACAAGGACCCGACATCACAAGGACCGACAAAATACGAGGACCAACATGTAAGAACCGACAACCAAGGACCGACATACAAAGACCGACATACAAGACCGACATACAAGGACCGACATACAAGGACCGACATACAAGGACCGACATACAAGGACCGACAACCAAGGACCGACATACAAGGACCGACATACAAAGACCGACATACAAGGACCGACATACAAGGACCGACATACAAAGACCGACATACAAGGACCGACATGCAAGAACCGACATGCAAGGACCAACATACAAGGACCGACATACAAGGACCGACATAGCAAGGACGACAACCAAGGCGACGAACAACCACAGGACCGACATACAAGGACCGACATACAAGGACCGACATACTAAGGACCGACATGCAAGGCACCGACATGCAAGACCGACATGCAAGAACCAACACATGCCAAGGACCGACAAACCAAGGACCGACATACAAGGACCGGACATAAACAAGGACCGACAACCAAGGACCGACATACAAAGGCGACCGACATACAAGGACCGACATACAAGGACCGACAACAAGGACCGACATAAAGACCGACATACAAAGACCGACATACAAGACCGACATACAAGACCGACATACAAGGGACCGACAACAAGGACCGACAACAAGGACCGACAACCAAGGACCGACATACAAAGACCGACATACAAAGACCCGACATACAAAGACCGACATAACAAGGACCGACATACAAAGACCGACATACAAAGACCGACATGACAACGGACCGACATACAAAGACCGACATACAAAGACCGGACATACAAGGACCGACATACAAGGACCGACAACCAAGGGACCGGACAACCAAGGACCGACATACAAAGACCGACATACAAGGCCCGACATTACAAGGAGCGACATACAAGCGACCGGAATACAAGGACCGACATACAAAGACCGACATACAAGGCACCGACATACAAGAAAACCGACATACAAAGACCGACATACAAGGACCGACATACAAAGACCGACATACAAAGGCCGACATACAAGGACCGACATACAAAGGACCGACATACAAGGACCGACATACAAGGACGACAACAGGACCGACATCACAAGACCGACATACAAGGACCGACATTACAATGAACCGACATACAAAGACCGACATACGAGGACCGACATACGAGCGACCGACAACAAAGACCGACATACAAAGACCGACATACAAAGACCGACATACAAGGACATACAAAGACCGACATACAAGGACCGACATACAAAGACCGACATACAAGGACCGACATACAAAGACCGACATACAAGGACCGACATACAAGGCGACGACATACAAAAGACCGAACATACAAGGACCGACATACAAGGACGACATGCAAAGAACTGACATGCAAGGACCGACATTTAAGGACCGACAACCAAGGACCGACATACACAGGGCTTGAAAACTAAACCTAAAATGTTCACTAGCCAGCAGGGCTAGTGACCTGTAAAATCTACTAGCCCTTAAAAATATCTCCCAGCCCTTACTTTTCTGAAGTGCCGCGCTGAGCTACGCAGTGAGTAAAATTTTGCCATTTGCGGGGGCGTTGGTGGAAGGGGGGGGCGTGAGGTGGTGATCTGGGTTTTGATTTTAGATGCTCCGAGATGCATTCTGCGAAATTCCTTGACTGTGAAAATTTAGATTCAGCACATATTCAGGTATAATATATATATTATATATATATATATTATATATATATATAATATATATATAATAAATATACATAATATATATATTATATATCAAGAGCTAATAAATACCTAGAGTGTACAACGGAAAGATAGTGCCATTTCACGGCAATATTATTCTAGTTTGTATGCGGTTCTAGACTAAGTTCATGGTATTCGCGTAAGCAGCATTCTTTGCTCTCTAAAATAAGACCAACCGCTTGTCTCTACGCATACTCCTAGGCCGAGATATTGGAGCGTAATCATGCCTACCACAGGCCTCAGTAGAATAATATTGCCTGAAATAGCACTATTTCCCAGTTTTTCCATTGTACACTCTAGGTGTATATTATATCTTGATATATATACCAGTGTCTCAATTTTAAGGTTTTTTTTGGGTTGTCCGGAGGAACAACAGAGAGTAGCATATGGTTGTCCCTCAAGAGTTTGGTTTGTCCGGGATATTATTTAAACATGTGCTGCATGCCGCTCTGCTCACGTGATGCTCAGTGCTGTTAAAGCAAAAGGCCTAATCATGTACATTTTGTACGTATTGCAGTGACAGCAGACATGGCCATTCGCATTGTTTCACTCATATATATGAAGATAATAAAATATTGGTAATGTGTAAATGATGCTGGGATCAATGACGATAATAAAGTAATTAAAAGTTGCATAAATTTATTTGCATAACACTTACATTAAGTTAACTAATGTGGTACTAATAGTACTAAATCAATACTACTAACATTACTAACATTACAACACTGTGTCAAGTCACAGATGAGTAAAAATTGAAAGATTGACACGAAACATTGTGTTAATAATGTGTTAAAAACATTGTGTTAATAAACGAAACATTGTGTTGTTAAACACCGTGATGTTATACTTTGTTATCAAGGAAGCCAGACAATGCCGTCTAGACATGTACGTTGGCAGCGTATTGTGCCAACCCTGGCCGTATGGAAAATGAACGCGCGCATTATGAATATAAAATTCACTCGCCAACAGGGCTGGTCAGACCAGACATTCTACTAGCCCTTACTGATTCTACTAGCCTCGGCGCGAGCGGCGGAGCCGTTAGTTTCAAGCCCTGATACACTTACCGAGGAACGTCTCCTTATTGCGTTTGCTCTCGGCGAACTCATCTCGAACAGCTTTCTGTCGGAGAGACGACGCTCTTTGCTTGCGATGCGGTTCATGCCGACTCTTCTTCTCCTTCAGTGCAGCCGACGTGTGAAGGTTCCTTGTGCATCGCCGCGCCTGTGACGTCCCGTTGACCCCACATCGACGGCTGAACGATCGTCACCAGCACGCGTCGCTGCGAGAGAGAAGGGCGCTCGATTTACACACAGACAACGATTATGAATTAATGAGTGGCTGCGAGTTTTAGAGAGAGAAGGCCGCTCGATTTACACACAGACAACGATTATGTATTAATGAGTTGGCTGTGAGTTTTAGAGAGAGAAGGCTTGCTCGATTTACACACAGACAACGATATGTCATGTGTGCTGCGAGTTCAGAGAAAGAAGGCTGCTCGATTTATGCACAGACAGCGATTATATATAAAGCGCGAGAGAGAGGAGACAGACATGTATACAATAAATAGGGGTATATGATTTTATACATACTGACATATGTTGGTGTATTGGAACATGAGCCAGCTCCATACATCGCTGAGTTGATAGCACTTAATACAAACTCTAATCATAGTCAATGACTGCATGCTGCCTCTTTCTGAAATACACAAATATCAGATTCATACTACATGAACAACCCCCTTGTGAAAAGTTATGCTTGTGCATAGATTCTCACTAGTTATATATGGCACCCTATTAATTTATCCACTACCAACATCATCACATTTGAAACGCTTATTGTCGATATGTCGAATCATGCAGTGAATGAAATTAAACTAAAACAGAAAAAAAATAATTAAGTAACACAATGCATGGACACTTCAGGCATTTCATATGTATCATAAACATTTAAACACCTACATGTAAAGCATAGTAATCAGAGTTAGCCTTCGTTGGGTGGTCAACCATGGCTCTAGAATGGATTGGCTCTTCCGGTTTCGGCTTTGAAGCGGACCACTCATAAGCTAAATATAGCTGGATAGGCAAAGCTCACTACAAGCCAACAGCCCTGTGGTATGACAGAGTGAACTGCCGTGGCTTTCTCAGTTTTCGAGTCCAAACTTTTGTCAAGGTCTATGAGTGGCTGGTAGTACGATTCATCAAATTCCGGGCGCTTGTCTTCTGGACGAGACATCTTTTTAGCGGGCCCTGTTGATGTGAAACAAGTAAAACACTGTTTACAAGGCTAATTACGGCATGTCGCTGCCAACATTTGAGTTTTGAGGAGGAGAGTTTAGGGGCAAGGGAGCGGAGCACCATACTTGTTACCAGCCATCAGTGACCAGTAATAAATCAAAACCGGCATCATGATAAACGTATAATTTTTCAGCGATCGCACATAATATCTCATTTCACATTTGTAATGTAGCTGTAAAACTCACATGTACAAAACCATCACGGCGGCGCGACGTCGATTGCAGCGCCATCTATCGACCGTGACACGACACACGAGCAATTAAAACCAGAACGCATAGTGTTCGTGATCGCATACGACGTATTTTGTTTGTGTTGATAACTTGTCCCCTTGTGGTCTAATGCTACTAGTACTAGTGGAACTGTCCATTTGCAATGAAGTACAGAGTTCATGTTTTGAAGCCAGGCTACTCTGAGTTCGATGGCGATTCCTTGAGAGCAGACGGAACAATAACTCTGTTAAAAGGAAGACACAACATTATGGTTGATTGCGGCAGTCCATGGGATGAAGACATAATTTTAACAGGTGAGATGCTGTACGCCCGCAAACCACCCTGAACTTGCTTATATTCTTGTGCAAATAGTCAGCCGAATTACAGTGAAATTTGTTGCGTGAATAGGTTGCATCTCTGTTTTCCAAACTTTAGACGCAGAATTACTCAATTAGTAGGCCTACAAAGCATAGGCCTACAAAAGCTGAGAGGGTCTGACTCTATGCATGTCCCCCGGGGCCCTGCCGGAACTAGCTCTAGTACTATATATAGCCCGCGTACAGTGACTGCCGCAGGCCTGCTGCAGTCACTGTACGCGGACTATAGTACTAGAGCGACATACTCTGGTACTATCTAATATGCCGGACCGTACCTCGCCTACTCCACTAACGAGTCTAGTAGGGAGTCTCCTACGCCTACTCGATCTCTAACCCTAACCATATCAAATAGTTACCATATCAAATACCAGGGTATACCGGACCGTACCCAGGGTATGTTCCCGGCAGTACCCTGGGGGACACAGACCCTATGAGCCATACAAAACCATAGCCACAAGTTCCCTTCTCGCTTAACACTACGTTATTTTTATATTTTTTATTTATTTATTTATGGCTGTGAGTTTTAGAGAGAGAAGGCTGCTCGATTTACACACAGACAACGATTATGTCATGTGTGGCTGCGAGTTCTAGAGAAAGAAGGCTGCTCGATTTATGCACAGACAGCGATTATATAATAAGCGGCGAGAGAGAGAGACAGACATGTATACAGATAAATAGGGGTATATGATTTATACATACTGACATATGTTGGTGTATTGGAACATGAGCCAGCTCCATACATCCTGAGTTGATAGCACTAATACAAACTCTAATCATAGTCAATGACTGCATGCTGCCTCTTTCTGAAATACACAAATATCAGATTATACTACATGAACAACCCCCTTGTGAAAAGTTATGCTTGTGCATAGAGTTCTCACTAGTTAATATATTGGCAATTTGGCACCCTATTAATTTATCCACAACCAACATCATCACAACTTGAAACGCTTATTGTCGATATTTCGAATCATGCAGTGAATGAAATTAAAACTAAAACAGAAAAAAATAATTAATAAACACAATGCATGGACACTTCAGCATTTCATATGTATCATAAACATTAAACACCTACATGTAAGCATAGTAATCAGGTTAGCCTTCGTTGGGTGGTACAACCATGGGCTCTAGAATGGATTGCTTCTTCGGTTTCGGCTTTGAAGCGGACCACTCATAAGCTAAATATACTGGATAGGCAAAGCTCACTACAAGCAACAGCCCTGTGGTATACAGAGTGAACTGCCGTGGCTTTCTCAGTTTTCGTCCAAACTTTTTGTCGAGGTCTATGAGTGGCTGGTAGTACGATTCATCAAATTCCGGCTCCTTGTCTTCTGGACGAGACATCTTTAGCTGTGTGATTGAAACAAGTAAAACACTGTACAAGCTAATTACGCATGGCTGCCAACATTGAGTTGAGAGTGAGATTATGCAAGGGAGCGGAGCGACCGAGCGTGGGGATGGTGTGGGAGGGGGGGGGGCACCCCTCCCACACTAGGGACCTTTTGCATTTTTCACATTGAAATTGTGCATTCTGGTGCATACTTAAGTGAGTTTTTAAACATACACATGTTGTAATGCAATACACTGTAGTTCTGCTTTTAGATGGATTAGGTACATGTATATGGATGGCTCGAAACAACACATCACTAGATCCTGCTTGGAATTGTATTTATATATGACCTCTACTGTTCGGCAAGTAAGGACGCGAGATCTAGAACCGTTCAGCGAATTGAAATGCTCTAAAGTATACTTCGGTTTTTCTATCTGTTTGTTTCTGTATGCGTGAGAATTAGCAGACCCGGAGTGAGAGCGTGAGATTAGCTTCTATACCGCGAGTCGCACGCCGAATGCGTGAGTTTGGCAGCGCCTGGATTATTACAGCTAGTTTACACGGTAGATTTTAGAAGATTCAGAACAAAAATAACGCTGATATAGGAGATGTACAGAAACTTCAATACAAAGAAATATTGGCAACACACAATCCATGTGCAGCAGCAAATTTGTCAGTTGAAAGCATAATTCATGATAGGTGCCTACAAACATGAGCCCGAAATGGATTTGGTGGCCTAAATAATAATATGTAAATAAAACTAGCGGCATTAGGTGTTTGAGACAGAGAAAGGCAGGTT